CATCCACAATATTTTCTGATGCATAGGCCTCTGGATTTGTTCATGAGTTTGTTCTTCTACAGTTTCTTTCTAGAAAGAATGATAGATTCTAATGCTCAGCATGAATAATAATATGAATTCAAACTTATATGTCAAATGTTTGAAAGTGTGTGTGTGTGTGTGTGTAGGTACCATTTTATTCTATGTTTTCACTGTTTTGATATAGTAAAGGAACCCATATTTCCATCTTGTGCCCAGTGAAGGCACTGTACTGCTGCTGCTCTGTTTTCAGCATGGCAGCATGCAGGCTTATTTTTGTCATGGTGCTGATACTCAGAATACCCAGTCTCATTACAAGGTACTTTTCTACTTTTTATGTTACAGAAATCTGTGTAATCCCATAATTAACTAAACATCCTCAAGCACAGGGCATGGGGCTTTTACCCATCATCCTAATTGCTGTTTAAGCTGAGATCTGAGTCAACCAGTACTTTTTACCTGGTTTGAGGATTATTTAGCACATAGGAAGAGTGACCCAAGCCTTTTCTGATTTTTTTATGGCAACTGGAGTAATCAAAAAATTGGGGATGAGGTAGGTAGATGATCTGAGTTTTGAGTTATTGTTGTGTATATGAAAGGGATGACAGGTCAGATGAGTGACAGACGAAGGCTGAAATGGCTAAAAACTATTCTTAAAATGGTCTTGAAGAACTTAAAAGCAGCCAATTTTGTAGTATGGCATGCTATAACTAAGTTTTTTATGTAGTTTGTTCTGAAATCTTTACATATGTGGTTTGGACCTGTGGGAGTGTAAATTCGAGGGAATTAACAATAGTTTTTCTAGGCTCAGAATGAATGTCCTAATTATTCAAGCAGAAAACAGATACTACTCATGGGCAAAATATATTTGGGAGAACTTAAAAGTAGCAAAGAAATTAAAATAATTGAGAGTAAGTTATTGAAAACATAAACCTCCAGGGTGTGCCAACTGCTAGAAATAAATGGTGGCCCCATAGAAGTCAAGGGAAGATCATTTGATTTAAGTAAGACAATTGGCCTTTTCAGATTAACAAAACCCTCAAACAATGACAAATCCCAGCATTTTCAACATGTTGATCTTCTGAAGCTGTGGTGAAAATGTAACTTCCTTTTACCATGAAATCTGGCTTCACAGGGGACTGAAGAGAAGCTGACAAAAATAATTAACAAATCATGCAATTGTAGAAAAATGCATTTTCACTGTCTCTTGAAATTTTGAAATTGGTGTTGAAGTTATCAGTTAGTGTTGTCTCTCTTGACATAATTTTTCAAAGTGAAATAATTAAAATTTTTTGTTTGAGTTCTTACCTGAAAATTATGTAAAACCATCTAGAGTTATGTTAAATAACCCCAAAGCTAAATGACCTAATTTTGAGTTTAAATACTTGGATTATTTCTTTTAAACAAGTAACTCCTTTGGTGTAACAGTGAAATTGATTGGCAATGCTCGCTTAAGACTGAAGACTTGTAAAAAGCCCTTATTTCCCTAACAGAAAAAGTCAGTGTAGAAGAACAAACGATAATCATAAATACATTGGGAAAAGAGAAGTCTGTGCGTAGAGAACCTTAACATGACAGTAAAAATATTGACAGTTAACCCATTTCTATTCAGCCATATCCTAATACAAAAACCAGATTGAAATATCTTGCATGAGTTGCAGTTCATTAAACAAATGTGACACTTTATTTTCTAGCTGTTTCAATACCGAAAGAGGTGAAGTGGTGAAATAGCAATATAAATGAACACACTTCTCAGTGTGCTGAGAACTCAAGTCCATGTAAAAGAAAAAAAAATTAAAAAGGTTTTTTAATATTTGTTTTCTGTGTCCTTCTCTTGCCCCTAAACAAAAAGCAGAATCCATTTCCGGAATCTGAGTTTTGATTCTAAAGGATAAAATATATTGTCTCTGAAAATTAATTATAAAAAGAAATGCCACTACTGCATTTAAAACTAATAATGAGATGACTCATAATGCTGTCTTATTATTTTAATTGAAAAAAAAATCTTTGTTAGTCTTTGCTGATAGCAATTTATTTTAGCTGATATTTTTAAATAACATTTTATATATTTGAATTAAATTTATAATTTGCAACTACAAAGCTTATCTGTTTGGGTGGGTTTTTTTGAGAATTTTTTTCCCCAGCTGTTATTTCTGTCTGAAAAATAAATGTAATATTCTCTAGCAAAACATTTTCTGGAGATCTCTTTTCTTACTTGATATACTGTCTCATTTGGTATAGCTTTTAATTCAGGTCATTGCTTTGCATACATTGCTATTTTAAAATAAGATCAAAGTAAAACACCGTTATAACGGATATTTAGTCCTCACTCAGAAACAGAAGAATTAATGATACAATTTTAAATATGTGTCCTGATAACATGACTGACATTTAAAAAAAAAAAGCTGTGATCTGAATGTTGTCAATTTAGATTTAGCAAATTAGCTAAGTAGCTTGCATTTGTAGTATTTCACACCTTAAAGCCTTAATATGCATTGCTAAATATATTTCCTCACTGTTTGCTAATTAATGTTCTGTGGAAGTACAGCTGCTAATATTTTGTGGTTGATATGGCTCATTTTAAAGTGCTAACAGCTGCATCTGTAGTAGTGTTACATTTCAGTTCATAAATTATGGACATACATTTTTACACATACTATTTTGTACAAGCATTTGAAAAATCTCTATTTGCTAACAAAATGCACCCAGTAATATTTAAACAAGCCATGAAAATACCCCCCCGGATACCACCACTCCCTGAGATAATAGTGACTCAGTGAGTCTTTCATGTGTAAAGTTTTAAATGTTGCAGGAAATGAACATCTTTTTTCTGTAATATCACAAAGTGTCTTCAGGAGTAGCTCTTGGTAATTAGTAAAGACTGATATATTCTGATGGTAAAATAATTGGACTGGAAAAATATTGTGTGACAGTGCAGGGAAAAATATTTTTCTGAGGGGAATAAATAAACACTATCAGAATATATCTTGTGGAGAAGACCAAGAGAATAAAAAGTATTCATAAATGTGTTTTGTAAGAAAGATTTTTTTTTTTTAATATTTTGAAAGATACATCAGCCCAAGCAATCTGGGAGGGTCCTGGAGTGCTCTGATGAGAACTTCTCCCTGTGTAGATAGGACTTGGAGGAGAGGTGCTTTTGCTGCACCTCATAAAGAAGGAGGAACTTGTTTGAGGTGTCAAAATTGAAGACAGGCTTGACCATAGCAACAATGAGATGTTGGAGTTCAGCATCCTGAGGAGGAGCCGGAACAGGTCAGAAAGGAAGCTCACAACCCTGGGCTTCAGGAGAGCAGAGTTTGGCCACTTCAGAGAACTGCTTGGAAAAGTCCCATGTGATAAGGTCCTGGAGGGAAGAGAGAGCTCAAGAAACCAAGAAAGCTGTTAATATTCTTACAAGTTTAAGACCCATCCCAGTGAATAGGAACTTGGGCAAAAATGAATAATAGGAGCTTTGCCTGCAGCAATGAACAAGTTGCTCCAGGTTATACACAAAACGAAGCCTGCAAAGAGAGAGGTAGAGCAAGGACATGCAGTCTGGGAAGAATACAGGGACATTGCCTGGCCATCCAGGATTTAAGTTAGGAAAGCTGAAGTCCAGACAGAATCTACTCAGGAATATCAAAGAAAACAAGATAGGCAACAAGAGGAAGACTAAGGAGAATCTGGGCCCGTTGCTGAATGAGACAGGGGGCCTGTGAATGGCACAGGACACAGAAGAGGCTGAGGTGATGAATGCCTCCTTTGCACAGTCTTTACCAGCAAGGCCAGCCTTCAGGAATCCTGAGTTCCAGCAACTGGGGGAAAGTAAAGTGTACCCTTGGTGAAAGAAGATCAGGTCTTAAGAGAACAGGGGTCACATATGTCCGTAGTCTGATTGATTGATTTGCATCCACAAGTGCTGAGGAAGCTCCTGTCATTGCAGTGTCACTCTTGATAATCTTTGATCAGCCATTGTAACTGGGAGAAGGGACCAAAGACTGGAGAAAGGCAAATGTCACTCCTGTCTTCAGCAAGGGCAAGAAGTAGGACCCATGGAATGCCTGGCTGGTCAGCCTCATGTGGGAAAGTGATGGAACATCTAATCATAAAACAGTTTGCAGGTACATGAAAGACAAGAAAATCCCGTAATGAATAGCGTGCTTCCCCTTCAGCAAGGGGAAGACATGCTTGGCCTGCTTGATAAATTTTTATCAAAAAGTGGCTGATCGGGTAGATGTGGGAAAAGCTGTGTATATTGTCTACCTAGATTTTGGCGAAGCTGTTGATGGTGTTTTCTGTAAGATCCTCATAAAGAAGCTTGCTGATGTGTGGGTTGACTGAGCAGGCAGGAGAGGCTGATGCACCAGGGGACTGTGCTCTCATGTAGAGGGACATTGACAGGCTGGAGAAATGGCCTGACATATCTACATGAAACAATGAAGTTTGGAAATTACCATATCCAGGACTGGTGGAACTTGTTCAATCTGTTTTATCAGTGCAAGGATTAAGCTAGCAAAAGGTACAATTTGAAAGTATGCCTTAGGGAGGAGGCATTTCATAGGCAACTGGGAGCTATCAAGTCAAGCTTAGGTATGAGGGGAGGGTCTTAGTTGTTTACTGTGCTGTGAAGAGGGTTAGAAATATTTTATCACAGATTATTTTAGTGAAACACAACCATTGAATGATTATATAAGTAGTTCCTTCTGGATAGCCGTTTCAGTGTTTTCATGTGGAAAATGTATACAAATGGGGCACAACTTGAAGTTATTATTTGATATTTCCATATAGTTTTCCATACTGAATTCTGCTAATCGCTATCCAACACATGTAGGTGCAGCCAACTGTCTCATATATAAAATGGGTAAAACTTCAGATAACTTCAAGTTCTACATTGCATTTACTCTGCTGTATGTTAAATTACTATATTTTTATAAATTTGCATATGCTTAATATTTCTTTTTTTTTTTTCCCTGCTCTACTAGATGCTGGTGACTACTCCAGAGAAATGGGATGTGGTGACAAGGAAAAGTGTTGGTGATGTAGCCCTCTCTCAGCTGGTAAAACTCTTGATTCTTGATGAAGTTCATCTACTGCATGAAGACAGAGGACCAGTACTTGAAAGTATAGTAGCACGTACTTTACGACAGGTAAGAGTGAAAAAATCCTTAAAATAATTTTGTTTTGGTCAAGAGTAGGTAGATGTCACTGTAAAAGGTAACATGCTTAGACAATTAAAGAGAAATGCTTAGGCAGTTTGCAATTTATTTTACAGCTGTTCTGTTTTAAAGCTGTGTATGAAGAATGGATTTTTTTGTCTTCTACTTTTCTTTCTGTGTTATAACAACTGTCAGATTCCTAAGATGCATAATTTATTATAGTTCTGTTCCTTATAATTTATTTGCCTAATTTATTCTACTGTACAAGTAACAAGAAAATTAAACATTTTTAAGCAAATAATAATCAGGCTAATGTTTTAACACAATCAGAATTGAAATTATTTTCTTGCCAGGAATGCTTATTTTCAATTAGCAGTTTTCCTAGTAGAATTTCTTTTTTTGTTTTAATTAAGAATAGTGTCTTAAATCAAGGTAAAACTTTCAGCACTGCTAGAAAAATACTACATAATTTTTAGTCTAGCATAAATGGTCCTTTTGTTTTTCTCTATGATTTAGTGATATTTTCTAAATACTGAGATTAGAAATTGAAAAAAGAAGAAAAGGGATTTTTTTCTTGAATCTTGTACAAAAGAAGAATTCGAAGTTAGGCAATAAATAAGGTTGGCGTCAATAGTGGGATGTGCTTCTACAAGTAAAGTAAAATATGGAATTTGAGAATGAATAAAAAGGAAGGATTTTGGAAAAATAAATAATGGGAAGAGGGAGGATTTGAGTGCATTTTTATTTTTTTTATGAAGAGCAAAACTCTATCCATACAAATAACCTGTAGCAAATTAAAATGAAATGAGTGTTTTTATGGCTCTATTTGTAGCATATTAAGTGTTTGAAGCATTTTAGTTTTCAAGATGCTTTTTTTCCTTGGTAAGGCTGCACTGACCTTGTTAAGGCTTTTTGAATCATCTGATTCCAACTCTGCTAAGAAGAGAATGAAATTAATGTCTGCTCTAATCTGGTACAGCAAGTGTAAAGTTCCTGCGTAAAGAACAATATAAGTAACAATTCTTTAGAAGAATCTAAGTTTAGAGTACCTCAAAGATGCTAAACTTGAGGTGTTTGATGTTATATTTTCTTTCTTAAATGGTTTTGATAACCTTGTTTTTCCTTAGGTGTCTTTATAGTAAGCCCTCTCAGGTTTTAGCTGTGATGATGATAATCATTTTAAGCCCTCTCAGGTTTTAGCTGTGATGATGATAATCATTTTCTTCACATCAGATTGCAAGATTTATTCATTTCTTAGTGTGAAATTTTGTGAGACTTGTAAGATAGGCTTCAGCTGTCCAAAACAGATGTTGAGAGCCATTTTATCCGTCCTACACTACTCAGCTTGGCATTCCATTTCTGCTTTGTTTGGACACAAATCTCCCTTAGATCCTTCCCTTTTGTGTCTGTCAAGCCTGTGTAGGTAACTTAGGGGACATAAAATCTGAGGCAATTATGGTTTGGGTGCTGAATCCTATCTATATGCATTTAATGTAATGCAGCAGTATCTTGCTTCAGCACTCATTTAAAAAATTAGCTCTTTTAAAAAAGGATGTTTTAATCTCCTAGGATTTCAAGGTTTGTTTTAACTACTGAGTTGGAATTTAATTCATCTGGAGCTGAAGCTACCCAGTTGTAACCCTTCCTTAAGGGAAACAGTTGGGAAATAAAGCAATATACAAGTTTTGAAACTGACCATCTCACCACCTTATTTATTCTAATTTGATAAGAAAGACAGTAATGGAGACCTATATGTATCTTTACAAGTAGGTACCTTAGGAGAGGGAAAATTTACAGTATAAAGGTACACTGAAAAAACTCACAGTTAAAAAGAAAGCAAAATTACTTGTAGAATTTTTTTGGAATTGTGCTGTAGAAAACAATTGCTGACAAAAATATTTCAAATGGCAAGCTTCCCAGAGAGCCCAGGGACAAAGAAACAGGAGATGTTTTGTACAATTGTTTTGGTTTTTTAATATGAAAACAAATAATAAGAGGATTACTTTTTTAAATTACACTGAAATGTTATACTTCAGCATCTGAGCTTGCAGGCATAGTTCTATGAAGTTTGCAGTATACATCCACAGCTATGAAGTTACTGGAACTTTTATGCAGTAAATAAAGAAAGATAACATAATGTGTCTGATTTCAGAAGAATTTGCCTGGAGTTTAGTGAAAATACTGTTATATATGCTCAAAGTGTAAAAAAAATCACACCTAATGCTTTAATATTACTTTGTGAGGAAAATAGATATATTGTTGCGTTTCCTTGGTTTTGTTCCTTGCCCATAATTCCATTTTATGTATTTTGATAGAAATTCATAAATGCCCCTGGAGCATGAAAAAAAGCCGGGATATTTAGCCCATCCCTGGAGAATGTCCTTCTGTCTTCAATGATTTCAATCTCCTCTCCAACCTCCCTGAAAGTAGTTATAGAACTTACTTTTCATTGATATCTATAGCAATATCATACTTGTTCAGTATTCATGCACACAGGAAGTAAGAGTAATTGTTCACTTCTTGAAAAACAAAAAATACCCCAAGGACAAAATTAATCTCAAATGTCCTTATGTCAATTACAGCACTGTTGTAGTTGCTGAAATCAATTACCCAATTTGTATACTGGTTTCAGACATCCAAAATATTGACTATTTTCTCTTCATGTGTAGTAGAGGGACAAGTAATTCAAAAGAAGCTCCATTGCAGAGCAGTAGTCACTAGATCAGAACTGGAGGCTGTAGTAACTGAGATCTGTTCTGGTAAATATCGTTGACATTTTCCCACTTTCTGTGCTGTCACTTTTGGCTCCTGCAGGAGACAGTGCATTCAAACAGTACAATTTTGATCTGACCTGAAACAGTCATTTCTTTTATCACTTCCACGATAAACCATGATAAATTTCTTGAATACTACTTCAGCCTTTTCCATAAATCACTAATAACAACTCTAATAATGCATGTACCTGTAGTTCCATCTGAATCATACTTGCCTAGCTTGTATATGATTGTCATGATTGCTGTGCAGGTCAGCATGTGCAGTGTAGTGCCTTTTATCTTTGCAGGGTTTGTTATCCTGTCTTAGAGACAAAGCATCTCTCTTGTTTTGTTGGAGGTATGAGGAATATTTTGATAAGATGGTGTACAACAGAAAAAAGAGACAGTGGATTGGGGTTTTGTCTTTTTAAGAATTAGTATTCATCTAGATACTTGGGCCTACAACTGTGCCAGAAAAGAATATTTTGAGATCTGTATTGATATGAGGTAAAAATACAGCTATCCAAATGCATTCTTAAAGCAGGAATATCCTGATGCATTCACAGGTCTGTCCTAATTTGTACCTCAAAATACTTGAATGATTGATGTAGTTTCCCCCAGATGAACACTGAGTCACACCACTTACTGTAAGACTTCAACACGCTCATTTTAACTTATGGCATTTTTTAGAATTAGGTTTTATTTAAACCTGGAAGGAGCATATATATTGGAATTGCTGACAGTTTTACTCATAGCAGAATGAAGGGCATATTTGTGCATGTTTGCACTTTTCAAATTTTAGAGAATGTTTTTGCAAGTGATTTAAATTGACTTTGCTAAACATTTTGGTGGGAAAATTGCTCTGAGCTCTGTTATATACTGTAGGTATAACATCAAACAACTTATTTGAATCCAATTTATAGCTTTGATGTTTAAAGTTTTAGTCCAGAGCATAATGCAGATGTAAAACTGAAATGCTTAAACTTTTTAATCAAACTTTCCACACTACTGTAATATACTAAGGTTATTAGCTTGAAAGAGAAAAATTTACAGTTTTTACAGGCCACTGAAGTATTTTGTTATAATTATTCAGAGATTTTGATTACTTCCTTGCTGCTTATGGGTATTTTTCACAAAAAAAGCATACTGAATATTATGCTTCAATTATACACAAGTTTTGATACCTGTTCTCAATATGTGAATGATAAATTAAATAAAATAAAATCCATGTGTGGGTTTATTAAAAACTCATTAAAAACTTTCCCAGATTTGGGGATACCAAAGCTGCCATCTTAGACAGACAAATATTGTTTCTCAGAACTGGCTCATTTTTCAAGTTAAAGTTTCAGTTGCTTTATGTCTTTCTATCAGATCAACAAATTTAGTATAGATGGGCTAACACAGCAGTACAAGGAATAGAGGAGATTCCTGGAAAACATTGATGGGAAAGGCCTCCTCCAGGCAATAGAGGACTCCACAAGCAGAGCTGCTGTGCTGCACCTTTTACTCATCAGGAAAGGAGGAGCTTGTTGGGGAAGTGAAGATCAAAGGCAGCTTTGACTGCAGTGGTCACAAGATGTTTGAGCTCTTCTTCCTCTGGAAATTCTCATATTTCCTTTCTGAGCTTTCTTTCCTCATGCTCCCCTATTTAAGGAGCTTTTCTCTTCAGTTATGATATAATTTTCTTTGGTTTTTCTTTGCATTTTCAATATCTGTAATGCCTTATTATTTCCTCTACCTATTTTTTTTCTGTCCCTTTTGTTCACTCTTTTACCTCTTACTAGAGATCATTGGCAAACAAGTTCAGATGTTTCTCACCCGAAGCCAAATGTCTAATTGTTATCAAATTAGGAATTTTTATGTGCTTAGAATCCCATTCTTGGCTTTGATAATTTGATCAGTTTAAAAAAAAGGTCAAGATTGATAGCTAATGACAAAAAACCAGCTGCTTAGATCTGTCTATCTTTTATCAGATGGTGACCCACTGTAGTTCCTATAAGGGTCTTTTTGGGACTAGAATGACCGTGGCATTTCATTGGGTTCTTCAGTTCTGTCTTAAGTGACTTCTGTTAGTCTTTTGTCTCTTTGATATTCCACATATAAACTAACCAAGTTACCTAGCATATTTTATTAAAGGATAAACCAAACAAGGTTACTGAAGCCTCCTGCAATAATTTATCCATTTCAAACTATAGTGTTGTGGGGCTTTTTTGTTACTGGACTTTCCTATATTCACAA